GTAGCCGGTCTGTTTGTGCTGTATCCAATCAGCTTGTGATGTAGCCGGTCTGTTTGTGCTGTATCCAATCAGCTTGTGATGTAGCCGGTCTGTTTGTGCTGTATCCAATCAGCTTGTGATGTACCTGGTCTGTCTGTGCTGTATCCAATCAGATTGTGATGTACCCGGTCTGTTTGTGCTATATCCCATCAGTCTGTGATGTACCCGGTCTGCGCACGCTGTATCTAATCACTATGCAATATACCCCGACCCTAACTGAATTTAAAATACCAAATGTGATGGATTTAATAATCAATTTAAAAATGAATATTAGTAAAAATAAAAAGCAGCAAAAGCCTTATAATTCATCCATGCATTACTCCTCAGGGCAGGTCGCTGCCCTCGGCTGTGTGCTGAGGAGGCACTCACCCCCGCAGTGTGTCAGCCCGTAGAGGGTGTAGCCCTTCTGACAGACACACTCAAAGCTGCCTGGGTAGTTGATGCATGTGTGGTCACATGTCCTTTCGAAGGAGCATTCGTCAATATCTGCAGGCAAAAAAAAAACATATATAACATATATATATAAAAAACCAGAGGAAAAGCAAACATAACAAGGACATCTTGGGTTTAAAGAGGCTCCCGGGCAACATGAATAGCCAGAGAGGAGGGTTAACACACCGGAATATGTTTTCTCTCATGGATTCTTTGGTAACACGTTACTTGAAGGGGCACAGATACTCAGTATTAACTCAGTTACTAATGAAGTACAAATGATGAACAAATACAGTCGCTACTTGAGCTAAAAGATGTGTCACGATTCATTAACGAACAACATGAGATCAGTATTTCACTTGTAATATTCATTACTTGTTCTTTCAGTAGTGCACAAAGGTTTACAGAATTAACAGATATAGTAACAGCTTGAGATAAAACATGTGTCACGATTCATTAATGATGAATTAACCTGAGTTCAGTATGTAACAGACTACATAAATAATACTGTATTATTTGTGCCCCATCAAGTGAAGTGCTACTGATTTTTTTTTTCTTATAGGCAGTCTGCGGTTCCTTATATTGTCTTCAGCTCTCTGTCTGAGAGATGCCAGCGCTGATCTCACACACTGGCTGGAAGCTCCTACAACACTGATTTATCATGGTGGAGCAGGCATGGGTGAAGGGTTACAGAGATACAGTATTTGGGGATGAGCAGGTTGTGATCACAAAGAGTTGGCACTATGATTAGAGAATGATAAAGACACACAATGAACTGAAAATCCTGCTTCTGATTAGGGAGACCCTGAACCCAATATCTATCACGGCTTCCCAGGCCATACAAAAGAGGAGAACCTCTGCTCCAAGCACAAGAGACGACTACCCAAACCCCAAAACAGCTGCTCATGAGCGCGGGGGTGATATGAGACAGAGGGTGTTTATAACCTGTTACGTTCAATAATCAAATCCACCTATATTTGCCCTTTGGACAATTGGGTTAGTTTCCCCTCATGTCCGTCTCACAGCTGATCTTCAAAGCCAAGGCTGAGCCATCAGCCATAAGGTCCGTCTCCGGCCTCAATGAGAATAGATGATGGAGTTCAGCTCCGGAAGCCCCGCAAATCAGAGCTGATTACAGAGCCGTTCGGTCATAAACACAGCTTACTGTGCTGCCTCAGCAGAAGCAGGCCTTCCCAGTGCTAATACACAAGCACAAGCATAGGCACGCACACACTTTAAACTATACCAGTGTTTCCCAATCTGGTCCTCGGGGGCAGGGAGCTGGGAGGGAGCAAAAATGTGGACTGTCTGTCAGGGAGCTGGGAGGGAGCAAAAACGTGGACCGACTGTGGGTTCCAGAGTACTGGGGAACACTGAACTATACTGTCAACACACCTCTATCACACGGAAATTCATCATACACATATAATCAGCACAGAAGCTGCCAACCAGTTAAGTCGTAACTTACAGCATATTTATCATATCCATTAGAATTCACAACTAACTAGGTACATAGATAAGAATCACAGTGAAACATTACGTGGTACAACTAGATTCTGAGACTGAAACCATCACTCCCAAGTTTTCGAGGCAAGCATTAAAATAAATTTAAAAAACACTCTTCCAAATCAAGTGTTCTCTATGATTATATAATTCCTTCAGCATCAGATCTACAACGAGCATTTTGCATTTAAATCTCAACAAAAGTGCATCCATTTGTTTAGCATTTAACTCTTGACCCTGTGTCTAGTCTGTGTCTCTACTCACACTTAGTGTCACCTTTAAGCAATGAGACTGAGCCCAGTACTGAGTTTATACAGTGGGATACTGCCTCTTCAGTGGTGTCCTTTGGTAAAGGACTGATTTAGGATCAGCCATCAGTCCCAAATTGTAATCCACCCCATAATGGTTATGGGTATCAGACTGATTCAAGGTCAGATGCTAAGGCGTGATGTGTTCACGTCCCTGTGAATCAGCCTCCACAGCCCTGGCGTCCCTGTGAAATGCGGCTGTTTTTTCGCCACACAGCGGTGCGCGAATTTAAGACTTTCCGAGCGACTATTAACAAGACCTGTAGGGGGCGGCGGGGGGTCTGCCGCCCACCTCTGAGACAGGGCACGACCAGCGGGGAAGCAGTAAAACCAGTGCACCACCCCAACCCAACATAAGTGTACTGGGGGGGGGGGGGAAGTAGTTATTAGTTTATTACTGTCATTATTTAATTATATTACTGCGGTGTTATTTTGTCGTTATAACATAATTATTCATAATCAGAACCATAACAAGTTCTTCTGCAGGAGGAGAATGAAAGGAGGTAGTAGGAAATATTTTATGTATAACTTATGTCTAGAAGTAGATTATGGGAGCATAACAATCATATACTCAGGTAATAAATTTTATGATAAGTACTATGTTCTTTGCCCAGTGACAGATTACCTAGGTAACAATAAGCCATTTTTCTGTAATATACTTGGTATAATTTTTACAAGGCAGCCAAGTCAACAAAGATTTGTTTTGCATTTAGGGTAGTTTCACGGCGAGGGTCCCAGCAGCGACTGGGGAAGGAGCACAAACGCACGCGGCGGCCTGGCGGAGCCGTGTCTATCCCAATCAGAGCGACGCTAATTAGAGAAAAAGGAGGTGAGCGTCAACATGCAGGAGCTGGCGAGGGGGGGGAAGGAGGCCATTGGCCAGGGCTGAGTTGCCTGGAGCTGGTTAGGAAGCCGGCAGACGTGTCCCGGCGTCTTGCTGGAAAGCGGAAACAAAACCCTGACCACTTACAGAGCGGCAAGGCTTTCAGCGTCCGGGGCCAGAACTGAAACATCACCGGCGCAGAAGCTACTCCAACAGCAGCCCTGCTTTACAAACTCACACAGGCTACATGCGTCGCTGTCTCCTTTCATTAAGGAACTTGGCCAAAGGGTTTGGTGTTTCTGCCTGGTGGCTGGGGCTGCTACCTCTGCGATGGATTTTAGGAGAAAAAAAAAAAAACACCTAAGCAGTCCTAACCACCACACAGTCACTTTACATTTATTCAGCAATACTTTTAGCTAAGACTTCGAGATTCGGTGTCAGACAGTCCCTGGAGTAACTACAGGTTATGGGCCTCGCTCAAGGGCACGATGATGACATCACACTGCCACTGCTGGGATTTGAACCTATTGACCTTCTGATGACAAGCACAGTGTCATAACGCCAGTTAAACACCACCCTCGTGCAGAAGAGATACACACACTCTCCAGCCTTGATAAGCTCTCATTGCGGTGACAGCATGACTGGCGAAACAGACCCCAGATCAGTCTGATCCTCTTAAAAATCACACACACCGTCATGCCTTGTCGTTCACTACAGGCCACAGGGGTCGGCCCTATGGCTGAATGCTCGTATTGCATCATGCAAGTGCCACGCAAACAGTCTCCTGTGAAAATTCACACAGCTTATGCCACTAAACACCTGGACAAAATTCCCAAGCTCATGCTGGTTATGGACCCAGCAAACCTTTCGTTGCAAATTCAGGTTTTTGAATTTAATTCTACATCCCCACTATTCAGGAAACCATGTGACTGCAGACTCTACTATAGCTCTCGTCGGTCTAATCGTTGATGTTTAAGCAGACTAATAAGATTTGTTCAACGTGGGTTTTATAACGGCAATAAAAAGAGAATAGAGCAGCACACCCAGAGTGATAGGAGTCCAGTACGAATTGCACTATCAAGGAAGTCTCTGTCAGACCCGATAACCAGGTCAATATGTACACTTGTTGCACACGTTAGTCATGTCATCAGCACTCAGCGACATGACAGGCAGGGGCCAGCAGCACTCTGAAATTACGTCCCAGACTTCCTGCTAATTACAGAGCCGGGGCGTCCAACGGCGGGCTGCCCGCTCGCGATAAACACCTCGCCCACACTGACGAGAAATTACCGAGACGCTAACTGCCAGTGGTTACCCCGCGGCCCGCAGGCCGCCCCAGACCTCAAGGACGAAAAATAAACCGCGGCATCCGGACTGAATCGTTTTCACCCGATTGATGTCGGCAGGTTTGCAGTTTCAGGAAATAACCTTTTGAAATTGCGGGTGTGCACACACATGCGCTCCTTAAATTGCTCTAGAGCCATTTACTTCAGGCTATGAATGGGTCCATTGGAAACAGGTAGTACCGTGGTTACGACCACAGCTACAGAGGCTGATGGTTCAAATAGCCAGGACTATACGGCCTGAGATATACGGGTAAAAACTGCAAATTAACTTAAAAACTTAAGTAGCATCATAATACGTTATAATCATGATGCCATCATAATTGTTGAACCAGAGTAACTGGTTTCCAACCGGCACCAGTCCGGGGCCACTATTCCACCCTGCTGTGTAACACTGCCAGTCCAGGGAGGGACTGGTTAATTTAGAAAAATCTGCACTTTTTTAACGACCCCTGACATCCACATGTTCTGATCACATCCGAGAACAAATGAAAGTGGCCAAAACTGGTCCCGCTGCCAGTACCCCCTGGATCAACAAGTATTACCAGTTTGCATAAGGTGAAGAACCCCTCCATTAGTGCAACCTGTGAGAATTTCGTACACTTCCGATTTTTCGTCCGGGCAGAAGGATGGATGAGGAGACGCGTGAGCATCATTAGCCAGTAGGGTTGCGATTCTGTAGGTGGCATGATTGTGGCGTAGGAAAGGTAAATTATGTCTGTGGATGGGTGTCTAGGGGTAGGGAAGATTCAGGAGAGGACTGGTATATATGTTAGAGGGTGGGGGGGGGGGGCGCAAATCACTGGGGATTATAGCTGAGAGCATAAAAACAAAGATGATGGGTTAGGGCAGTGAGGATGTGTTGGAGGACAAGAGGACGGGGGCCAAAGAGGTCTCCTTTGGACGCCTGGGGAAGCCATTTTGTCACAGCTTTCGCAGGCGCGCCCCCCCCCCCACCACGGTGTAATGGCACCGAGACAGATGATCACCCACATCCTGAATCACCGCCTGGAACCCAAGCCGCAGGAACTCCTGGTCCTGGTGCCCACCCCCAAGCCAGACACACACATTCGCCAG